TTATTGTTATATAGTCAGGCCAGGAGTTGCGAATAATGTCTCTTATTACAGACCCATCATTCCCCACTCGCTGTGAAGAGCATCACTGGTTTAGCAGTGAAACAACACACTCTCAGTTGAGAACAGGGCTAGCACCACGGACAGCGCTTCGGACAAAATACACATGCGTGGACTACGTGGAACATAATCTGTGCACAACAACTTCCAATTCCTCAGTATTGTAGCTATTTTTTATTGTTTTCTATACCCTGCCCTCAAAGTCCACACGCATTACTAACAAGGATGCCAGTGTGATCGTTGAGAAATAATGAAGTCAGACTTAGCCAAATAAATGGCTGATTCAGCTTTGGCAATTGAAAACAGCAATAACAAAAGATACCCTTGGGCTTTTGTATATGTGGAATGTGTTGCTGAAGCGTGGGTCCTAAACATTAACAATGCAGGAAAGGGAAAACAAATATCTTGCATACAATGGCTCATTCAAATGGCATGCCATTAATTATGTTTGTCAGAAGACCAGCATCACACTGTGTCTATGAATGCCTGCCAGATTTCATCCCTTGTAACGACTACACACAGGTCATTGAAATAATATAATGAGCCAGATATAGGTTCGAATGAAAAGCGAACTAAATAGCATGCGGGGAAGATTCATCTCACAGCAGCAATAACGTTTATGAAGAAAAAGAGGGAACATATATTACTTCCCACTCACACGACACTGAATGCATTAAAAACGGTAATAAAGTGTATAAATATTATTTGTGACCACTTTCTATGAGTGTGCCCATATGCACTCTTAACGTTATAAGTATTGTGATGAATAACTCTTAATGTATAATTAAACACAGACACATTCATAATGTCTTCAGACACAATTTAAAAGCACTTGGCTTAACTGTATGTTTTGCTACATGCTAACCCAGTTATGAAATGAAAAACTAATAACGCATTTATTTCATTAAATGTAACTGTTGCGAGCTGATGTAAATGTAGCATAATTAAATCAGGGATATTAACAATAAAACATCAAGTTTGTATCTTTACTTGAAAATATCGAGTTTGAAGTTGTGCAATCTGCATTTGTTCCAAACACAAGGAATTGTGCATTTCTTCCTTTAACAAGATGCATTTTTTTAATACCAGCCAATTTTCTTAGGTACTCCCAAAACAAATAATGATCTTGTTATATTTACTCTATTCCAATATGAAGTAACACCATGAGTGTTGTGGGACGCATTGGACCACATCAGCCTTGGCTCTTTCAGATGGTAATGCAGCCAAGGATTGGAAGATAAGGTTTACATATTCCCCGGCTACTCTCTTGAACTAGAATATGTGTTTGAATGGAAAAGAATCTCTTATCCACCCAACAACTGAACTAGTTGGTGCAGTAACAGTTTGTTCCATATATATATATATATATATATATAACACGGTACTACAGACTCTGACGGTTATTCTTTATTTTGATCTACATAATAAAATTAATTTGACTATGAATGAAAATGTATTTGTTTTCTATCAGTGTGGAATTAATACCACATTACACGGTACTACAGACTCTGACAGCTATGCATTATTGTAAGTGAAATATCTTCTCAAGCATCGTTACCCTTCTATATTTGCTTTAAGTAAGGTTAACCTTTAAAAGCATTTCCCAGCTTCTGCCTGATCTCAAGAGTGTGGTCTACAATATGACCTTCATGTCACTGGGCAGAGTGGGAACAGAGAGATCAGTAATTATGAAAATGCATTCGAAAGTAAACAACTCTGATCACCCCCGCTTGTCCTTACCACAGTTTGAAAAGTAACACTTAATCACATCCTGTGCAATCCTGTCATTATTAAAAAAATAATAATCTCAATGCTTTGAGTATCGGGACAAACTGACAAAAGTTAAAGGGCTGTCAGTGAGATTATGTGAGACAACCTGCAATTAAAAAGTACAGTGACAGTAGGTAACCACTTTGTTATCTTCGGAGTTTACCGCTGGTAAAGTAAATACCTGATGAGCAATTTTAAAACTTCAGTTTTCAAGGTTTTACGTGAGTGTACATTAATTGAGCATCCTTTAACATGGTCTGTTAAAATTAGGATAATTTAGCAACCAAAGAAACCCACGTCTCTGCATTCACTAGGGATGATTTGGTGAGTCATGCAGAAAATAAAAGACAAAGTGAGAGAAAGGACGATGGAGACAAGAGAAACAAAAACATCTGAGACAGAAGCTGATATGTTAAAATGTCAACGATGAGTCAATAAATGGCACCACATTTCATTTTGACGTTATGACACATTTTCCTTTGTCGAAAAGATAAACACGCTTCCGGTTTACAAAAAAAACCCACCACAAAGTAGTTTTTCAGTCAGACACTTTAATCAAACAACGGTGATCTCCTTTCCCTTTGTTCTACTAGTCCCCATCCTAAAGTAGAAAGAGTAGAGCAAGGGTCTGGAGCAGTGCCAACTTGCTGGAAGGGATATAATTAGCCTCAGGGGTCTTTTTGGACCTGAAACCCTCCATTCCCTTCCTTCATGACTAATTCACAAGACCTTGGTTCTCCTTTGGCGTCTGAGGGTAAGCCAGCAGGCCGTGCAAACACTAGGAAGGGTGAAGTTCACCATCCATTTTGCTCCCAGTTCTTTTTTTAATGAAGGAACTTCATTATTGTTTATAAATGTTGACGTAAAGTGTTTTCCTCTTCAATCGCATCACAGCTGCACTTGAGGTATTGGCTGAAATGAGTGGAACACTTTCTTGTAAATGGGGCTGTTCAGGTGAGGTCACTGCTGCTTCATCTCAGCCTCAACCCAACTGTTAGGCTCTCAAGGATGAAATCAGCCAATCAGTGAAAGGGAAAGCAGAGTATGAGTTCTTTGGCAGTGATAAAGGGGTTTCTCTATGTGCTAGCAAATATTTATGTTATGTTATTTCGGAGCCTATCAAAGTCAAGAGGAGAGAAGTTCCTCTGGTATGGCATATGGAGGGGTTTGGGCTGATATTGAGTTATGAAAGATGGAGGGGAGAGTTTTAGATTTATTCTGCTGTCAGCTCGAAGAAGGCAGTCAGCGTGTGTGTGTGTGTGTCTGTGTGTATAAGCATATTGTGTACATGTATTTGTGTGTGTGTGTGTGTGTGTGTGTGTGCGTGCACGTAGGTGTGTGGGGCTGTAGCTGTCTTCCAAGTCGATAGACACACTCTGTCACCACTGGCAAGTAATTGACAGCTTGGAGTTTGCAGTGACACAGGCCTTGCATATATTTCCTCCATTACCTTGTGTGTGTGTCACCCTGCAGTTCTCCCTGGCAGTGCATGCAGGAGTCAGCTAGCTCAGCAGGGGATTAAACAAACACCTTCTATTTTGGCTTGTAGGGAGGAGGGGGGGGGGGGGGGTGATGAACTCTCTTACCCTCAATCAGCCAAATAGGTAATAAAGGCTTCCCCTTTCTCATTGCTGATTGGTTATTTAAATAGAGTAGGGCCAACTGCTGCACGTCGCTTGCATTCCAAAGTCAAGCATTTGCAAACAATTTGTTTCTTTGTTTCAATTACTGTGAGTAGTCAGAGTAGGGCTTGCCAAATCTGGAAAGCACAGTGTCAAGGGGATTAAAGCAAAAAACTTTTTTTGCATCTGGTGTGTATCGCAGCTGTTCCTACATGAAAGAAAGGAAATGGCAGTTTCATACATATAAGAAAACTCATAAGGATACTTTGAAGCCTCGAGAAATTGGCATTAAATACTATGTTTAGCGATATTGTTGAAACATAAAATGCCCTAAGTTTAACAGCAGAATTGATCAAAAACACTGAACTTGCAAAAACAGAAACAATTATTCTGTCCTTGAAACTGTGATAAAATGACAAAGTTTCTGTGAAAAGCGCAGAGCAGCTAAACTTCGAAAGATTTGAACAAGTAGTGTAAGGAAAGAAAGTGCAGTTGCATTTTCAGCTCCAGAAGTATCCATAATTATTCACTCATATCCATTTGCAGGAGGCTTGGCAGCCAGAGCAACGCTATGCTGCAATTTGTCTTCCCCTCTCTCTTTTTACTCCTGCTGCCTGCTCCCCTACAAATCGTTAGTTTCACTTTTCATTAGGCTGGATCAATAAGGCGGATCAGTCGCTTGTGGCGAGGCTACTGCATGGCAGACGCCCCTCTCTCCCTCCGCACTTTCTTCTCCTCATTCCGTCTCCCTTGTTCTCTTTTGCTCTGTCATTGACTCTCTCTATCATTCCTGCGATCCTCCAGTGAGGGAGGTTGTGAGAGGCAGCAGGGAGACAGGAAGCAGCAGGAGGCTTGAAGGGCCCAAGAACGAGACTTTAGCCAGCCATTGCGCTGGTGTCACCCAATAAGGCAGAAATGGCCTTGCTGAATGATAACCCAATAAAGTTTAATTAAGAACCAGTAACCTCTCAAGCTTGTAGTAATAATAGAAAATGGAGGCTGCATGCAGAGCAAGGAAATTAAAGTGGAAATGTAAGGGTCTGTACAGCTTAGTCATATTGACACAGTCTACCAAATGGGAAATATTAGCGCTGATTTAATTCCTTTCTGATGGTTTTAATAGAAAATATATCTTTTGTTCTCAGGCTTTACTGCGGATATTTGATCATGTTTTGAGTAAGACCGCAGGTGAACCCCTTTGTTTGAGCATGTACCTATACTCATACTTTCTGTGTAATTGGGAAATGAACAAGGACACGTACTGTATACTTTTATTGTCGTGAAGCACCACTTTTGTTAGGGCCCCTAGAGCTCTGGTAGTGCTACTGCCCAGTATTTATGGGATGATGCACACAAGCTAAAACCCCTTAAATCCTCAGAAGCACTCCGAAACTAACATGACACACTTAAAAACTAATGAGAGAGTGAGAAGCCAGTGACGCCAGTGAAGCCTTTTACCATGAGTTGCTTTGAAACTCAGCGAACGGGGGCGGTTGGCGCTAGAACAGTGGTGTTGTTTGGACTCTGTGTGTGTGTTCAATTCGGACTCACCCAGCACAGTGAGGCGGGCAGGATGGGACCTCATGGCAGCCTGGACGGCCTGGCACTCAAACATAGAGTCATCCATCAGCTCGACACGTTGGATCCGCAAATGATGCTCCCCTGAACCGTGGTCACCAATCACTGTGTAACGAGGATAGCCTGCGGGGCAAACACATTTGTTCATTTTAATCACCTTCAAAATCAAAATAGGCCTCATTTGCATATTTTAAAGCTTTGCACACTTATGACAGCAGCGAAACACTACTAAAAGACACATTGGTGGAAAACGCAAGATAAATACACAATATTGGCTTACATGCAGTAGTTGAGTTGCATAGCCAAATAATTCAAACAGTCAGCAGATGAATATTATAGATTACTTTATAGGTTCGTATAGTCTTTGATTGTTCATTTGCTAATTTACTCACAATGCATTGTTGTACAAGATTAAAACATGAATACTATAAAACATGTTTTTATAGCACTCCTGGCAATGTTAATGACCTGCTGTGGAGGCTGCTGCATTCTGCAAAACTATGTTTTACTGCAGCCGTAAACAGGAGCAGCTAGAGTTTGAGTTGTTTCAGCATTGCTCTGTAAAATGATTTATAGTTTAATAATGCCAGAAAGCAGAGCAATATCCAAGAGACCTGGGCATTTCACACGAGTCAAGTGAGAAGGTTTTTAAAGATATCCCCCTAACTATCATCGAAATATGCATTGAGAGTGTGTTGTGGAGTGCATCCCCCCCCCACCAGGGCAAATAAGCAGGAAGAAGAATGTGTTTGACTGGAAAGCTTTATGGGTTATTTCTCATGCTTTCAGAATTGCTCATCTCTGAAGATCCCTATTCTCTTTTCTCTCACTCCATCTTTCTAATTATTGGTGATACAGCATGTGGAATGAAATGAAAGTTCTGTTCATAAAATAAAAATGCACTCCATAATATATCACCGATTTCCAGCAGAGAATTGCTTATTCCTCTAGTGGTCCTTCAGTAACTGATCAATGATGAGACTAGTGGATAGGATTGGATAATTTTGCAGCAAGACTTACCCTCTCTATAACTGTGTGCTTTGTAAAAGAAATTTCACACGTTAGACTCAACAGACTTGTCATTTCTTTTCCAGAAAGTCCATCAGTATCCATCCAACTGTCGGGTCATTGCCAACAAATGTTGGGTAAGAAAATATTGATTTCCCAGTAACAGCTATGACTCATGTTCACTTCAGAGATCCCCAAACACTCCAGTCTTTCACTATAAAGGTTTTACAGGCTGGTAATACGTTTTAGTGCCCAAAAGGAACAGACTGGGCAGCTTTTAAATCCTTGAATTTGTCTACTGCAAAAACCCATCATATGCTCAAAGTCCAATTATTGACTATTGCTTCATTGAATACAGTTGCCTGTAATAGAGCGTGAAGTGGGCCTCATTTTATGCTGGTGGGGTGAGTTACAGCCGATTAAGCCACTCTACATTTCATCCTCCTACGTGTAGCCTTTAATCTTAAGGGTCTATACAGTGGGAGGACGAAGGACAAAAACATTACAGCTGGGGAGCAGTGGATGCAAAATTAGTGGCAATTTAACTAAAGCATGAGCACAGGAAGTTGCACCAGTGGATGTTTTGTAGGAAAACCAGTCAAACATAAGATAAAATTGAATTTGACAGTACGTGCCACAATGTGTCCTACACTGCGAGATGGCGGGGCTTCATCAACACTGGTTGTAAATGTAACAGGGTTAATAGAAACTTGATCACAACTAAAAGCTTCTACTAATGACATTAATAACCATTGGCTGAAAAATTGCTTTTTCATGCTCAGGATAATGCCTAAAATGGAGGACGCATCATAATGTGCACAAGCTCACCCAGAGAACCATTTTGCTTCTATTTTATGTTCATTGATGCAATAATGTCATTGCAGATCACAAGGGTGATGATTATTGCACGTTCTGGTTGACGTGACCTTGAGTTGACTCCGGTCCTCCGAGCATATTCGTACCTATACCCTAGAAACAGAAAGCACTTTTGTTTTGCTGGCTTTAATTGTTGCGATATAAGCCATGTACAATTCTGTTGCACAAACAGATGATCTGGCCAATTACCTCATCTGTGCCTCTGGCAAAACTAAGAATAATGTTGCTGTGTGAGGATATGGCTCTGTTCCAGTCTCATCTCTGTGCATTAGCTGGATCCAAAAGGAAAAAGTAATTTGCATTTGTGTTGGATTGTAGTAGTGATAAGAATATCATAATCTCATTTTCGAACAATAGAAATGTATTGTAATGTGTTTTTGTCCTATTATAAGCACCGCGATCACACTTTTGGTCAATATGACTTAAATTAAACAGGCACACATATGAAGACTGATCACCTCTGCACATGTGATGTGTACCTATAACGGGCCATTGGTCTTAGGTCTCAGCGAATTTCAAAGACACAATGTGTTACCCAAAGCAAACAATGTAAAATAGAGCCCATTAAGGAGTAATGAATCCATCAGAGGGAAATGGATTTGTCTTGAGGCTGGATCAATGGTCAATGTGTGTGTGTGTGTGTGTGTGTGTGTGAGTATACAGACACTTGAGGCGTGGCCTAATGATTTATAGCATTCACCTAGAACATGTTTCACACAGTGTAACCACCAGGGAATAGAAATAGTTTAGCTGCAGCTGTGAACAGGTGACCAAGTATTCAATTCGCTCTCACGAGAGGCAAGAGTAGCACATGCTTGGCTGGCAAAGTTCTGCTGTCTGTCCGCTTCTCTTTTCAAGAACTCATCCTCCTCAATCCCAAGTGCATGTCATAATGTATACAAACACTTCCTTCTCTACTGTGTGCCCCTGGGGAATTCACTTACAGCTGCTTCGTCTGTTGTCACCCTCATCATGCGTAGCAGATACATTCTCTGCCATGCATATTCATGACATTGATTGGTATGTTCTGAGTGGTTATGGGGCTACTTTGCTTTTATTGAATTTGAGTGGAAACGCGTGACACCAGAGGGAACGAATTGGAAATTCGGGGACAGATAGGAATCATTGGCTTTTGTGCCATGATTTCTTGCTCTGAATGGTGAAAGACTTCTCTCGGTTTAATCACTGCTCCTGTGAATGGAAACAGGTCCCAGGCGGAGTACACCGTTGCCGACGCAGCTTCTTTCTATGAATAGCTGAGCAGACCTATATTATTGAAATGCTCCATGCAACATTTGATTCGTCGCAGTTTTTATGTATACAGCTGCCACTTTCCTTTCATTGTGTGCATCTTGCAGTGGATGTACCATCACTCTTTTACTACCGCCTGCATTGCTTGTTTATGTAGGCAGCAGGGATAAAAAGAACAGCTGTGGAGCTCTTTATTTGGAAGAAGTGTCATTCGTCTCAATAGAAGGCACTCAGCCCCCTGTCCGTGTCATACTGTTGATTTTAGCGACCTATCTTCTACAGGCGGGCAGCTATTCCTCCTCATACAAAAGCCAGTGCCTCTTTTAAACAATTTAAGAGAGAAAGATCACTCCGACTCTACATCTTGGCCCTGATTATTCAGCCAAATAAGAAGAATAAATGGTTGTGGAGAAGGACTACTGCATCGTGTCCTTGACTGCCAAACTCTTCACAGATGTTTTGTTAAATGTCGATCTACTGTAGTCCTCTCGACTATTGTGACCCATGGTTCTCTACATTCCCTTGTTGAAATGAGATTTCCTCTTGATTGTCTCATCTTCTTAAAGTGGAACCAGCAAAAATCTTACCCTGTTGCCACCTAAAATCAATGAAAATCGAAGTAGATAAAACAAATTCTACATGTCTGCTCCACCATGACAGTAAATAAAACTGTGCTCTCTTCCGTCCGTCCTCTTTCTCTTTAATTCTATCTCTAGCAATCATAAGTAGTCTCCCTGTCTTCCTCTTTTTCCTTCAAAATAGACTCGTAGACTGCGGGACCATTGTTTACTGCAACCTCTCAGTCTCCCCTGGGCCTGATAAGAACCTGAAGAGGGAATAGGAAGGCTTTACTGGGGCTCTGTCAGCCGCTGAGGTTTAATTACAGACCACCTATAGGCCACAGGGAGGGCCTCCGATTATTAAAGGTCAGAGGGTAGAAGAAATCCCAATCTCACGTGAAATAATTGATTTAATCGTTCCTTATCAAGGCTTTTGAGTTTTAATAACGGCAGCAGTTGGATAGTCTGTGGATGTAAATTGTCATATACTGTAGATTTCTTTGAGGTCACGCAGGGGTTCTATGTAAGGTAAATTAGAAATGTCTAAAATAAAGATCATGCTTTTATAGAATAATGCACCCTACTGTGTATACTGTGCTGTGTACAGTTTCAAATGGATCTCTTTTTCGGGAGAACTTAATGATCATTTCAGTAAATGATGCATGCTTACTACGCTTTTATGGATTTTTCTATTCAATAGCTCAGTGCTTCAAAGGTTGTAAATGTTTATTTAGAGGAGTGATGTGCTTCCTTGAAATTCATCAAGGTCATGAATATACATAAGTCCCGATTGGTTGAACAACAGGCTACTAAATGACAGTGCTGTAGTCACTTTTACTCCAAATTAAACAATTAAGGCAATTATACATGAGGTGCAGTGTAATTAGAGAATGCCAGCCACTCTTCAAAAAGCCATTTCGCAGCCTGAAGCACCAGAGAAAGACCAGTGCCACTATTGATTTCACATTTCATTCGGATTTTTGTGCTTCTCTGCCAAACAAAAAATACAAGAGATTTAGGTCTGCATCAAACACGGAGACAGAAATACATTTTTAGATTTTGTTTTGGTCATGTTGAGTGATTTAATGAATGATGTTTCTCATAACACATCATGTAATTCTTCTGGTATAACACACTAACATGAGACCTCCTGTCTGTGGAGTGATATATTTGGCAAAGGCTAGGATGCGGACATGTGGGGGCTTTAGATAAGATAAAGTGGCCATTTGAATATGACAGTTATAGTATAGAGTGTAATTAATATAGGAAGCTGAGGGTGATGGGGATATGCAGGGTGTCACGCTCAAGGGGATAAATGCTGTTACTTACCAGCGAGGTCTCTGCCAACTCCCAGCGCCAGGCCGTCTTTGATCCATAGGACTATGCCATGGTAACCAGGGATGGTGCACGGTAACGTCACAGGCTGGCCTGCCACCACCACCAGGTCCTGTGGCTGCTGGGAAAACATGGCCGCCGCCCCTTTGTAACAAAAGAAGAAGGGGACGGTTAGGTCCGAACCATTCAAATCCGAACATCATTTCAATACGATCAAGAGAAGGGGGCATGGGAAATTCAAGATCAAAGAGGGGAAAGCGCATGGCTTTACAAACACCTGCTTTCATCGTCTCAAGTGCTGAATGAAGGGGAAATTAAGGGAAGTGCACCATATGCCCATTTCCACCAATTTCACTCAAACCTCTTGTCACACTCATGTTGAAAGTACCCTAAAGGGTGATTCACAGACGAGGCACATTCTTTTACTATTCATGATGCGGAGACAAGATACTGTACATATATCAGAGGTGTCAGTGCAGCACCAGGACTGAAGCACAGGCTAAGAGACAGCCGTCACAGCTCAGCTTGGTTCATTTATGAAGGATGTCACTGTACAGATGGGCTGGGCTCTTACACACCAAAGCAGATAACACGATCTTGTCTGCCAACACTGCTCTAGTGGCATACATTAACTTCAGCTCACACCCATGCATTCCAACTGCGCAACTGCTATTAGCTGCACTCCTCTACTGCGTGTTCAGGCGGAAAGTGGTGTGCAGTGAACTCCATTAGAGGCACAGGGTGTGTTAATGGGGAGGGGGCTGAGAGGGGTAGTGTTGTGGATCAGAGTGGAAGGTACAGAGTGGTACTGATGTGTAGTTAGCAACACTGGCAGGTTGCCTATCAACTAAAGCGTACACACACACACACTCACTGTGACATGCATTTATAAAGTGACAGTCTGATGCGGGAGCACAAACTGCAGCAAAGGCTTAAAAGTGTCACTCTCACAGTTTCCTGAGACAGTTTTGTTTGCAGTTATTTCTTATTTTTATATTCCTAAGTTTTATCAGAATGTCTGCCTTTTTCTTGAGCAACCTATTCTTCCTCCTTGATACGAGCAGCAGCACAAACACAGGCACGCGTACAAACTGGAGCATGTATTCCCGTTATGCTGAAATGGGCTCTCACACACATTTTTTTTAAGTTAATCATATGCAAATAAAAAGCTGATAGAAGAATAACATGTAGTGAATTACAATAATAAGCAGAGCAAAGACAGCGGAGACCGTGAACGCGTGTTTTCATCTTGCAACATCTTTGTATCACATCGCAGTCATCTTCTGCAGTTCTTTGTATGCTTGGTTTCATATTCAAAGGAAATTACTTATCCTTTTGCAGACAAGGAAATTGATTAGCTTTGTTATACGTTTTCAAACCACACCAGAGAAAAGATTGTTGTCATACAAGAAACTGATTTTAATTTATTTGGAAAATGCCATTAGAATCCCCAAAAGTTTTTTTTTTTTGTTCAGCCTTGAACTGAATTCCCTGTGATAGATAGCTTGTTGGAGATGTAAGCAGAAGTTTTAATATTAATTCATACACGTATGTACCTCCACATTACACACACGGACAGAAAAACACAATCCTAGCTCATTGTAATATATATATATATCTACTACACCTACATCAGACAAAAATAATACGATGCTGTACCTCAAAGCATATAATGAGCTTTTCATCATTTTGGGACTCAACAGCTTCTGCCTGGCTAACCAAGCCCTCCCAAGTGTGCATGTATATGGTGGGTTGACGCTCGCATAGGTGAGACTTCATCTCAACATATGTGTTGGCCTTCCAACCTAGACAGCTGTGTTCAGGCCTGGCTTTGTTCCCATGTGAGGAGCTTATCTCTCGGCTGTACTCTGCCACAGAGTCAGCACGCAGATGAAGTGCGCTAACACACTGTATGGACAGCTACTCGACACATCTCTTGGCATGTTCCGGAAAAACAATGTAAACGGCAGGGAATCTTGTATCTGCTCATGTCATGACTGATATTATCAAACAGTTCAGCCTGTGCTGAAATTGATTTAACATTGGAGGGATGTCTCTGTTGTCAGCACACGTGCCTGCGTACTTCCTACAATCCGCCTATATCCTCACGCCTGCCCCTGCCTCATGTGTTATCAAGGAAAAAACTAGATTGGAGATTATTTTTCAGGCATCCAGTCACGCTGCTATATGCATCCTCTCTGGAGAGAGCGGGCGCAGTATCAGCTTGAACATTTTTAGATGTTTTATCCATTTGATGACTTTTCTGCACAGAGGCGTCATTTGCAGTAGGAGTTCATGCTAATTATGTGTCACACTTTGTTTTGAAACTGTTGTAAACTAATATTTCCCAAAAAGCCTCGTTAAAAATATGAATTAACAGTTTCCAACCCAATCGCACATCTCTAACACAAATGCGCACATGTGAGTCATCACACGTGGCTGCCAATTGAGAACATGTCTTAATGCTAGAAACCCAAGACCTGGAATGTCACTTCAGACAATCTCATCTTGAATTGGGACTTGGTCCGACATGTTTTATCTTAGCAAATTTTGCTGAAAGTTTGTACTGTTGCCATTTGAAGTTTGATGTCCTAGAAGGGCTATTAAAATACGCCGGTGATAGAAAGAATCAAAGACTTAACTGACACCAGCTTGTGCTTCCCACTTGAGCAGTTAAAAAGTGACCTCCTTCATTCAATTTAAAGGCTGGCTGAGTCTTCATAGGGACACAGCAGTAAAGAAACGAGGTGATGTGTTTGAGAAGGCTGGCGTTAACATCAAGGTGCCATTCGTTCATCCATCCCCTCTGCACCGAATAAATCTCTGTCACATCTGCCACATTTATCCTTTCACTGGGCCTCACAGCGTTGGCAAAAAAAACTGTGCCCATCCCTAATCTATCTCTTCTTTATTCTCTGGCAGGCATGACATGCAACAGCGTGACGACAGCCCCTGTCCCCTTACTTATTCATGAAAAATATTTTGAGAACAAACATGCCCAATTAAGAGTTAACACACCTCACTTCAAACTCGCTCACTGACAGTATCACGAGCGGAGGAGGGTAATTGTGCTCAGTTGCCCGCAGAGCTGGAGATCCACGTTAATAATGCTTTATTAAGCATCCTAATGGGGTTTACCAAAGAGCTTGTTAAAAAAAAACTAAAATGGTCAAATTAAAAACAGTCGAGATGGGCCATAACTTCAGGGGTAAGGCTCCGTAAACGTGTGGGCACAGAAAGTTGAGAAAGACACCTTTTATCTGTCACTAGACACAACAGCCTCTACAAAACAGCAACATCTTTTCTACCAATAGAACTTCAAATGATTTAAAAAAAAAGTGAACTACTTAGTTTGTGTCCATGTATTGTTCGGAAAGATTAGCGACAATAACAACATTTTTCACCTCAGCACTTTGGATTTCTTGTTAAATCGAGCATTATGCATTTGCTGACATCTTTCATAGGAGCTAATCCACCCGTTATCTAAAAGACATCTTTTCTTAAAGACACATTGAAGATTTTGACAATGTAATAACATACTTTACAACCAAGGTCAGCGTGTCAGATGGAAAAAATAAATAGTTTCAGTTCAACATCATACCCATCACAGAGGAAAGATCTCAAAGCTCGTCAATAAATCATCTTTAAACACAGATGCAAAATATAAGAAACATGTTTTCTACATTTCTATATCGACATATCTCTATATTTTATACATTTAAGTCAGTAAGTGAGAAACCCCTGTGTATGCACTACCCTTTTTGACTATATGTATGTGCATGAAATCATAGATGCTGGGTTTGTTTGCCCTGCATTTAAGGTAAGGCCAGAGTTGTTTCAAATGGGGGAAAAAAGCAGGCAGTTAAAGACTGTGCAGAGCGCCATATTCATAATGTGGACCGGCACTTTGCGTTGCCTAATGTTGTCATTTCACTTCAGATAATTTGTTTACCATTGGACGGCTGCTGCATTTCCACACACTCCAGCAATATTTTCCCCTCAGAGCTAACTGCCCCCAATTTCATCGCTCTGTGCCAATCAGGCCTGGAAATTGCCGTTACGGACACACATCCAGGCCACTTCAGAGAAATAATCAGCATGCTGTATTTGCGGCATGTGGCCACACAGCACCAAAGCTTAGCCCAGGATCATTATCAAAAAATATCACCCCTCTGGCCCGGGCATTTTATACCAGCAATTTAGAAGCACAGGATGGCTTCAGAATATGGAGGAGTGGGTGAGCTGGTCATTATGTATTGTAGTTTGGTAGTCGATGACCACGGTTTCTTTTCCATGGCATTACTGCAGGTAGATTTCAGTTTCCCATAACTTTAGGTATTGAGGTGTGTGTGTGTGGGTGGGGGGGGGGGGGGTATTATTATGTTCTTTAAATCTACTGGTGCTTTGATTTTGATAAAGGTGTGATTACAGAAACTAAATCAAGTTATTATTATAGATCCAATTGCAATGACCACCAGGACCTATAAGTCACATATAAAACATCTCCTACTTGCCCTGCTAATACATTTGAGTAAAGCACAAAGAACAGAGCCCACAGGAACCAGAAAAGTGAATTGTCCAAGCACATGAACACACTCTTTTTTTTAGCCTTTTCAAAGCTTTGTAAATTACTACTTTACTGTTGTAAATGGACTCCAGCGATGTCTTTTCTCGCCTCTCGGTCAATAAAAACACAAATCTCCTGCAATATGGATTCCCCTATTTTAACTGCAATTGAAACTTGCCTGTCGCAATGCACACCCTATCCTTCTCTCCACCAGACCTGCTACTCCCTCTGAAGCAGTGACACACATTCATGTCCTTCGTCACCAGACACTGATTGGCCATAAGCCCACAACTCCAGCATGCAATTCTTTCATTCTCACCATAGGTCTGCTGGCCATGATTTGTGCACTTTAATTATCTGCACATGACCATTAATTTGACACTGTCAGTGAAGCATGCAGCTGTGAGATTAATCAATCCACACAAAAAACATAAAACAATGGCCTCTGTCTTGCCTGGTTATATGACTCCCCTCCATGCTGGTGAAAGTCAGTTTCCGATTGGTGATAAATGCGTTCCGTGAAATGTCTAATACAACATAACAATGTAATTACAGCGCACTTGACAAAAGAGAAGGC